TATATATAGTGTTTTTGTGCTGTTTAGTGTTTGATTGCACTTATATTTGTAATTAATAAATAACTCTAATTAAAGTGTAGTAAAAGGAGTACATTGCATTAATGCAAGACAGCTTTACATGAAAGAGAAAAAAAACAATTAGCCCTCATAGTGCTAATCTGTCTTTGGAGCAATTTAAAAGACCCCCAGCAGGATGGCTACATTATCACACCGTTTGCAGCTTTTCATCCTTTTTCTGTCAGCTCTTTCCACTTCAGGTTTTTTATTCAGATCATTTCATGTATTCTGGCTCATCTTCAGGCAGGTGTTATAGAGGTCAGTGTGAATTAGATATCCCATCCTTCCTCATATGTGGAGGGCTTCGAGGTGCAACTTCACCCATTGTCTGCGTCCTTCATGCCCCAATCCTCAGAGGTAAAGACATATTGGTCTGAGATTACAGCTTTCCTCCCGTTCACATTGTGATCGTTWACAGCCCCTCCCAGAGTTTCTGACACATATCAAATATTGTATTGTAGCTTCTTTACTGCTGCTTGGAACACTTAAAAATCACTTTGCCTGTGTTGTGCACAAGATACTGTGAGTGTAGTTGTGGTGAAGAATCGATAAATATTAGAGAAAGGCAACCGCTTGGCATGACAGGCATGAAAACTCTAAGTGTGTTCTGCCACATACTGAGCCGGGGGTCAGCAGGTGGATCAGAAAGGACTCCTAATGACCCGAGCTGTTCGGGTGTGTGCTGTTTTGGCTCTAAAAGCCTGTAGAGACCAAGCCATCTGAAAACAATCTGGTAGAACAACAAACCTTGTTTGAGCTACAGACTGATATAAAATTCAGGTAATAACAGATCTGCAGTATTCTAGCCGCAAAAAAAAGTTTAGTCTGTGTTTCAGGCAACTTTATAAAGAAATATCAGTTTTCTGACTGCAGTGTTGCTTTTTATCTCAGCAGTGATGTTATTCAAGTGAAATTTATTTCATCAGTGTCAATTATGCAAGTCAGAATGACACAATCTGATATTATTCTCWTTTAAACATTCTCAAACCAGTAAAAATCAAAACTCAAGTTCACATTTACACATTTTTAGTGGCAGAACAGGGGCGGAGCTAAGCCTTTTTGCAAGGGGTCCCAAGGTGTTTTTAGGGGGGCACATACAAATAAAGAAAAGCATTCTGGATCAAACYGCTTTAATTCAGCTGTTTTAAGAAATAATGAACTGAAATGTTGTGTCATCAAAGCTAAGAATGACCCAAACAATATGCTGAATGCTAGTCACAATTTATTATTCAGCCATTTTTAGACATGCTGAAGATTAGTGTGGGTGTAGCCCAAAACAATTGTTTCTTAATTCTAAATGCTAATCATCAATTCAAGATGGCCTCCACAGCTAACTTTAAATGTTAGCTGTTTGTTTTAGAATTCAGCCATTTTAAGACTTATTGAGATGAAATTTGTCATGGAGCAGCTAAGAATGATCACATGCCCATTACCAATGCTAATTCTAATTTTGGCTAATTACTGATGCTAATGCTAATTTTTGAAATGGTTATAACTTAGCCATTTTTAAACATATACAGCTACATTTTTATATAGTGCAGTACTATTAGAGAACAATCTAAAAAAATCTAAATGTTAATGCAAAAATCCAAGATCCCCACCTACTTGTCAGTTATTTTGGAGTGGCCAACCAGTTGGCACTTGCCACCCTGGCCACCCTCTGGCTGACCCCCTGTAGCAAAAATATGCTAGAAAAAGGATTTCCTTCATTCAGGAAAAAAAATTTATATATATATATATATATATATATATATATATATATATATATATATATATATATATATATATATATATAATCTGTGCTATTCTGCTAAATTGGCTTTGGTTTGAGGAGTTTACTTGGTAATTTTGTTTTCTTCACCTTCATGACACTTCTTCCTGTAAAAGGAGGCTTTGAGCTCTGATAGACACTATTAGCCGCAGCCTCTATACTTTTCTGTCTCAATCACAAACCACAAATTGAGCTGGGGCCAAATTGACTGATGCTTTTTCAAACAGCACTGTCTGTGGTACAGCCACACTACAACTTCTGTGAAATAAAACCGTCTTGTTTATTTCACTAAGAAGCAGCCAGAACCCAGTGCAGAGTTCATGCAGCTCTCTAACTACCTCTGTATTCAGCAGTGGGGTGAGAAAAGCAATTACATCCCATAATGATGTTGAGATGTTCTGTTAATATAGCAAAACTGGGAAGTGCTTGTTTTTTTCATATTCATACCAGCTTGTGTGTGCTTTTTCATCGTGCTCAATGCTCCTCAATGCTCCTCAATGCTAACTGCGGCTCTCACTGTTTTGTTTTAGGTGTTTCAAGGGTGCGGGCAGCCGAAGCCGTCAGGACTCGGCAGGTCCACACGAGGCATCTCGGATGTGTTTAGTGGCCGCTTCCGGCCYTATACCCCTGAACAGAGACCAACCACAGCAACTGGAACGAGCCTGGATAGACTGGTATGTAAAAACTAGAGTTATTAATTTAGTTGGTAATTTTATAAAGAACCAATGAAAAGATGGTGCATTATCATGTCACGTTTTCTAACAAGGTCAAAAAAAACTTTTTATGATCTGGACCAGCATTTAAATTTTATGAGTCATTTCCTTACCCATGCTCCGTTGCTCCATGGTTTCATAAAATCTGGCTTTATCGTTTCCTCTAATTTTCACAAAAAAAAATATGACTCACATGTTCCCCATAGTCACAGAGGTCTGATTTACACAAGCAAATAGTGCCAAACCCTCAGTCTTTCTCACATATTTTGACAGCTCAACTGCTTTTCAGGACTGTACAAAAGAGAGTTTTTTTTAAAATATTATTGGCACAGGCAGACTTGGCGGAGGCATGCTGTGTTTAAGGTCGACTTACTGGGTGCAGGAGTCCAAAGGCCAGAAAAAACAGAGGCCTGCTCGTGTAGTCCATATAGCTCCCAGGTGCTGCGTGACTTCCACCTTTTCTGCACTCTGAGTTCAAATATTTCTTTTTCTTATGATCACTGCCCGCGGTTGCAGAGAACTCACACAGGTGCATGGATTTCTCTGCTGACATGCTGCTTAAAATCTATTCTTTACAGCGTGTTTGGGACCACAGAAGAAACACTGCATAGCAGTTTTCTATTTGTATTCGATTAAAATGGTGTATGCAGTTCTGAAATGTGGGTCCACACTCAAAATAAACACACGGTTTTATCTCCCTACTTCACTCAACAAATCGAAGCTTAAATATGAACCTATACGTGAAAATCCAAGACCTGTTTTCAGTCTCTTTGGCAGTTTTTATAGGTAAACAAAATGTTGTATATTTGGCAGCCATTCATTCGTTCCAATAGAAACTAACCTCTGAGCATCGTGACCAAATCATCAACTTTAGTACAGTTGAACAAAACACCTATGATTCTTCCTGAAGATGCCAAGATGTCAGTTTTTTGTTGCTGCCATATTGTGTTTTTGGAGCCAGATGTTGTCCATTACAGTCATGAAGCCTAATGCAAAAATCCCACCTACACTCCTTCCTAATTTGCTACTGAACTGTCAAACACAATGCAATGACACATTGCTGAAACCCTCTTTTAATTTTATTAAAACTAAACATATTTCAAAACTACTTCATTGAACCGACAGCATCAAAGTGAGAGCTACATAAATCTGCCAAAGTCAACAGCAGAAAACAGGTATTTTATATGTATTATTACTCTTTTCTCAGGAAAATATCACATTTGTTTACATTGAGGGGCGAAACTTAATACTGCTTTCATCTATGGTGACTAAAATTAGTAATCGCTCCAGTTACAGCAGGGGTGTCAAATCAAAGGACCAGCTGTAATTAACCTTGACGTTTCATATTTTACTTCGACTAAACCCAAAATAAAATGTTCCTRGTCTCGTTGCTACAACTGCGCCGCTAAAAAAAAACAATAACTGAGCTCTGTGTGGTATTCTSTGCATGGAAATGTTTTAACGCATCCACTTATAAACACCAACAGTATTGTGTGTTTGACTGACTAAATGTGAAATACATAATACAGAAATACTAGTAAAAGTAAGAGATATTTTCTTACAGCTTATGGCAAGTTAGCTGCCATCTTGAATTCTGAACTTTCCAACATTCCAACAGGGATTTCCCACTTGAGAGGAATTCCACTTTAAATTTATAACTTGTAAGTGGGAAATTCCCACTTKCCAGTACAACTGGGCCACAGTAAAAGTAGCCAGAGAAAAAGCAACAAAATGGAGATTTTACACATCCAATTTCTCAGCTGCCATCAACCCTGTGCAGCTCCACCTAGTGGTGGGATGCCYTCATTTCCTGGGTAAAATAATCGACATGCATAATTGGAAATGGAGTTTATAGTCAATGCTGGTTTTAAAGCAGCTTATTTTAAGATATTGATACACATTTAAAGCTCTCATGGGCCACACAAAATGCTGTGGTGGGCCACATTTGGCCCACTAGCCTTGAGTTTGACACACGTGAGTTACAATGTATCTCAGTGGTCATAACCAGTGTAGATGCTTACTGTTGATCAACAACATCTTAAACTCAAGAAAAGCYATTGTTAGTCAACATAACTTTTATAAGTGTATGTAGGACATGTTGATGAGCCTTATTTTCTTTTAAACCATAAATCTGTCTTCTGAACGCTCTGCYCAAATAAATATTTCCTGTGATTCACCCCACTTCATATTCATCTAGTAAATGCTCCCATTAAATGCATTATCTTCCTATTGACTAAAAGGTGCAGTTGCTAATCTTCTGCTGTATAAGTTGTAAAGTTTGTAAAGTTGTACAAAAGGATTAAAATGGAAAATATGCAGAAGCAGTGAAGCGATTAAAAGCTGCAGCGTGTACTGTTCAGTTGTAGTGGTAAAACATTTAAAAATGAGTATGTTGGACATATGTTGAATATTTTGTTGAGTACATAATGGGTGTGGATAATGTGGCCTGAATTTCTCACATCTTACAGTAAAAGTCTGGYCATTATTTCCTTAACACAAACATAAAAAAGTGGAAAACACAGAGAAGTTTCTCCAGTCTACCTATTTTTTATAATGTGATGTAATATTTATCCCTGCTGCTTTTCAGGCTGAGAGTTACTCAACATTAGTTCCTAAAATGTAAAATATATTCYGCAGCTATAAGCATTAGTATATTTTATTAAGCCTATTTGATTCCAGTGAATTTGAAATATTCCACTATTAAACCACTGCAGACTAATTGTCCCCATCAAGTTTGTAGGCAGGTCTTAATTTCTGCCTTGATCAGATTAGATAGCAGAAGATTTTGAGCTAATTCTGCTGCACTTCACAGCAATTCATTGTTTATCAAATGGTTTGAGGTACTAAATCTCACAGGCTGGTGAATAGAATATTTCAGCAGCACCATTTATCATTTAACTTTTTGCTTCACTAACTATTAGACATTCTTTTGCTCCAGTTCTCTCTCTCTCTTTCTCTCTTTCTCTCTCTCTCTCTCTCTCTCTCTCTCTCTCTCTCTCTCTCTCTCTCTCTCTCTCTCCCCTCTCTGTGTGTCTTTCTACATCTCCGATGTCCAATTAAATCTCTTTCTTCTTCATTTCTCTGCTGCTCCCAGAGGGTTGTCTGGAGGACAATGCAACACAGTGTAAGTCTTCCATTCCTCCTCCTGCTTTCACCGAGTCGTCTCTGTTGTGGTGTTTTAATCAGCCTGCCCGTTGCACTCCACCTCTTCATATTCTGCTATTGATTACGTGTTTGTGACATGCTTGTTTATTGACTTTGCACGTGTTTTATTCATCTTTTTGTTTTTTCAGAAGTTCATGTCTAAAGGAATACTTTAGAGCATCAGAATGACAGCTGAAGGGTGAAAGCTGTCTTTTAATGGTCGCCATTGTTTAATCTGTTTAAACGTTAATTTTAGGTTTGACGTGTGTATTCCACCATTCAGAGAAATCTGTTCAAATAAAATGAAACTTTAAATATATTGCCTACTTCAGGTATAATTTAAAAAGTTGAAATATCAATTATTCAATATTCTAGTGGAGAATTCTAAAAGAAAACTGCRAGAAGTAAACACTACAACTCATTTAAAAATCCACAAATTTGATGTATGAAATTCTGCATGTGTAATTGTTTTGTGTAGTTTGGATCACTACACGTTTTGCTTTCACTTTGCATGCAGCTGGGCTTGATTTGCTAAGTCAGTATGAAATTGCATAATTAGTGGGGTTGGCAGAATTTTTTTGTATAATAACACAGTTTGACTTTAAAGTCAATGTTGTAAACACGTGTACAAAGGGCAAAACACTTTTCCCCCTAAAATGAGTGGTTATGAATAAGTGAGTTTTAAATTATATGTAAAATGTATTTCCATTCTGTTAGAGTTGCATCATTTGCAACTCTAACTCTCCAGCCACCGAGCCATTGGTTCAGATATGTTGACGACACCTGGGTTAAAATTAAATCCCAGGAAGTCCAACATTTCACTGATCACATCAACTCTGTGGATAAATATATAAAGTTCACAGGAGAGGATGTAAAAGATGYCWGGTTGGCGTTCCTGGATTGTGATSTCTCAGTTTCGGATGGAGGKRGGTTAGAAAATGACGTGTGTTGCAAACCCACCAATACAGACCAGTATTTGCGTTTTGATTCCCATCACCCACTGGAACACAAGTTAAGAGTCATCAGAACTCTGAACCACAGAGCAGACAGTGTCCCCACAAACACAAGAGCCAGGGAGAAAGAGAAGTCACGCACAAGACAGGCCCTGGAGCAGTGTGGTTATCCTAACTGGGCTTTTCTGAAAGCAGACAAGAAACCCAAACAGGATTCCAGCCAACAACCAGGTGAAAATGAAGGCCCTAAACCCAGACCCAAACCAGTCGTCATTCCATATGTTGCTAGCCTGGTAAAAACCAGACCCTTTCCTTCACTTTGCTTCATACAGAGGGTCTGGACTCGCTGCATAGAGAAGCGATTCTTGCAGGAGGCGTGGCCTCTGCTGAAGCGTATGTGTGTTGTCGCTGTGACGGAGGCTAAGCTACGAAGCTAACCGTAAATCGCGTGTGCTGTAAACAACCCTACTGAGAGGAGAAAAATACCGAGCCAAAGGAGACGACTGTAAATGAGAGCTGCTGCTTTGTCAGACAAATTTAATTTAATTTGGAAGCCCTATCAACACGGACTGGCTTCATTCACTTCCTCCACTGCCGTATGCTAAACTAACCAGCAGACACTGCAAAGAAAATCAACGT